TGGGAAAGGTCGGGTTCATACCCAATAGTTGATTCTTCATCTGAGGAGTGACGAGGATGGTGTTGATCTATACCGTTCTTTTCGTTGACTTGTTCTTGACCAAGTTCTTCAGTCATACTTGAGGGTAGGAGATCGGAGACCATATTCGAAGAGTTGATATGGTTTCGTTTATCTCCTTTAGACGCCATATAAATGCAGGACTATAAGCAAAATCAAAATTATCCAATGAGTCAAAAATCAAAAGGGGAAATTTTCTTATAACGGGGATCGTTCCGATCGCAGAGATGACCGCGCCCTTCGGATGGCATACGGGGTCCACTTCCGGGGGGTTTTTTCTTTTTTTTTTTTTAAGAGTGGTCTATGTATATATGCCCATGTATGTTGTATATGATGTGGTTCTGTGGTTAGTATAGATAGGATTGGATATCAGATTTTATTAGTACCATCTTAGTCTTTTGTAGAGTTGATATAGTAGTTATATAACTAGGTCATAAGGTTGTAGTAGTAGTATATTCCAGCTACTTCCCATCTTTCTCTCGCCCTTTTTCCAAATTGAATAAGGATATCAAAGGCTATACTATATCTACTATATCTACTATATCTACTATATCTACTATATCTACTATATCTACTATATAACCTATATACTAACTACCTAGGTATATCTTATATTGACCCCACACTCACTGGATATGGCGCAATCCCGGGGTCCCCGCAAAACCGGCTGTCTCGGATATGTAGTTAGATAGTATATATGGATAATAAAAACTTCAGGAACTTCAATAGCTATCTTTCTAACATGTACATACATGTGAGTCTATACAAAAAAAAAAATATGGTAAAGGACCTGTCTTGAGGGTAAAAAACAGGAGAGCATAAACCCAAGCCAAACAAGCTAGCAATAGCAGAGGTAACACTCGTATAACCTTTGAACCAGTTTAGGTTGTCTTGGATATGAGGGCCAATGGTCCTCTAGCAATAGAGCAAACCATCATCAAGGCCGTGTGGTGATAATTCCCAGCATATCCGAATCTGCAACGGATGCCAAGGCCAGACTCCCCGGAGCATTGGCGTATACTTGGCTGTGGCGGGTAATCCTGGATTTGTTGGTCCAGAGTATGTTAATCTCAGTGATCTTGGTTGGAACTGCTAAAAAGCATCTGAATTGATCCAATAACATCGGCTGGTTCCAATAAGTGCCAGCTGGCATCGGTCTGCTTGGAGCTGGCACCCACCGTCACTGAGTAAACATGGTCGCGTGGTAGATCAAACTTCTTGAGAGCTCGGAACATATCTAAATTGCATGTCAATTCACTGGTTCAGCACTGGTCAAGGTGAGGAATAATATATAGATATAAAAAAAGTTACCTTCGTCAGTGAAATCATCACCCAAACATAAAATGAACTCCGGTGCCTTCCCTGGGGCCGTGCCATATTCGTTGACCAATCGAGTAGCGATAAATCCTTTGTTCACAAAGGTTGGTCGAACCTCTAGATTGGCCTTACCTGCCATGACTTCCACATCCCACCGTTTGGCAACAGTGTCCTCCAAGGCCTTTCGACACTCGCGAGCCTGAAATGCACCGTACTCTGGGTCTGCACGACGATAATGCCAGGTCAATGCTACCCGTTTTCGTTCAATGAATGAACCTTGTGTTCGCTCGGTGTAATGTTGGAAAACATCAACTACTTCCTTCTGCCATCCCATGTTGCTTCTCTCGGCCAAGTTTTCCCAATCCTCAGATCCAGGCTTTCGGATAAAACAACCATGCTCAGCACTCAATCCGAGCTCTGGGATATGGCCCATCCACTCATCCAGGAAAGCCTGGTCCCGTCCACTAATGATCCACACGGCATTTCGTGGGTCGGCTGATAGGCTCTTCAGAGTACGGAGGACCCGATCTGAGGGAATGGCCGCCTGAGGATCCTTGACAATTGGTGTCAAAGTGCCGTCGTAGTCGAACATGAACAGTCGTCGGCGAGCCTTACGATACTGCTTCATGAGTTTTGCGCGATCTAGTGCAGGTGTAGCGACCGACTGGTCAAAGGACGAAAGGTTGGTCAGTAGGCGATTGAGATACTGCCTGGACCACATAGAAACTGTGTTGGTCACTACATGCTTGTATAGCTTGAGATGTTGCTCCTTCCGCTGGTCCGCTGGCATATTCAATGCTTGATTGATCGCCGCAGCTACCCCAACCATATCCCATGGGTTGATGTGGATGGCACTAGGCAGGGTGCCCGCCGTTCCAGAGAATTCAGAAAGAATCAAAGGGCTGTGGTTGGTCTGCTGACAGACAATATATTCCAGACTCGTTGTGTTCATGCCATCTCGCACCGTAGTAATCAAGCCGACATCGGCAACACGCAACAGAGCGAAATACTCGCGCGGGGACAAGTATTGAGGATAGTACTGGACGGGCGAGAAACTCAAAGAGCCAAATCGTCCATTGATGGTCGAGACCAAATTGGATATTTGGCCAGCAATTTTGTTTTCTGGGTCTTCCTTTTCCTCTTCTACACTAGTTGGACTCGTCACCTGGATGAGGACAACTTTGTCACGCCATTCCGGATAGCGCTCCAGGAAAATTTCGAATGCCTGTAGCTTCTGTGCGACGCCACGAACACTGTCCAGCCGATCGCGGCCGACGATGATTTTCTTTCCAGCATAGAGCTTGCGAATACCCAACACAGTCTTCTCGATATCCGGGGCCCCAAAGGCGGCTTTTTGAATCGAACGTGCATCGATACCAATGGGGAAGACATCTACTGCAACATGGGCCCCATAGGCATCAACCCCGGCAGAGTTCGACTCAAAGCCTAAAACACGCGTGCAGCACGAGGTAAAGTGTCGCGAGTAGGAGAACGTTTGGAATCCAATCATGTTGGCACCCAAGACACCCTCCAGGATCTCCTTGCGCTTTGCAAGACACCGGACGAACTCGCTGCTGGGGAAAGGCGAATGTAAGAAGAATCCCACATAAATATTAGGGACACGTTGCCGTAGCAGACTGGGGAGAAGAAATAGGTGATAATCATGAACCCAGACCACGTCTCCTTCTTGATATTCCTGCACGATGCGATCCGCAAACAACTGGTTCAGGCGCACATAGTCGGCCCACCACCGCCGCTCAGATCGACCATCTGTCGGACCATGTTGCTTGTAGTGAAGTAGAGGGTATAGCTCACGTTCGGCATAACGGCGCCATCTCCCTTGGTCTTTCAGCAGAATAGTCTCTTCTGGTTCTTCTGATGCATCCGACAACCACACAGGCAATACCCGGCCATGACGACCCGAGCTCAATTGTTCATCAAGTCGTTCTCGATCCTGTTGGGTGACATTAATCCCCTCCAACAATGGATGTGCGGGTGCCTTCTTGGTTACATCCACGGGGACGGGCGCAGCAGCCTTGTTCAATTGTTGGTTAACAGCAAGGTTACCGGGGGTTAGAGGTGCCTTGACTGCAGGATTGGGATGTATTTGCTGCAAAGGTGATTTCACATCCACATCAGGCTCGACTTCTCCGGTCCAGCCTACCAATGTGTGTGACCAAGAAGTCTCATCCGATGCAAGATGTGCAAATGAATCGAACAGTGCTGAAGTACCGGAGCGTGACTTGAGCGTCTGTTATCCGGTCAGCCAATACTATCTTCCAATAAAAAGAATCATCCACGTACCCAGTCTGATCCCGATCGAAAGCTGAGCTTGTATGGTATGCAGAAAGCGGCGCTGATGAGGCGGCCACTCAAATGAAGTCCCGGGTGTTGCATGCGTGGATCGGTCTCAGGGGACATGGGAGAGTCTGAAGTCAAGCTTAAGCGGCGCAGCAAATCGACGCCGGATGATGCTCTCCCTGCAGTCTGTACTGGCTGGGGGTTGGTCTCAGACGGGTCGGTGGTTACAGATTTGGTCCCGGGGAGATTGTCAAAGTATGAAGGGGCCTCGTTCGACATCTTCTCTAGACTAGGTGTCGCATTTGTCGCTTCGGTATATGCTTCATCTTTGAGGGCCTTTAATCCAGGCCCAACGAGAACAGGGTTTGGCTGGTCATCGGGTACCTGCGCGGGGCTCTCTGGTTCGGACATGACGAGCAGCCGCGTAGCGCTTATATGACGGGAAGATCGAGGATGAGATCGGATGTGTTTCAATTAGACTGTAAGAGTTAGGCTGCAATTGTCACATGCACTAACATCCGGGGAAACCTTGGACATCGGTGGGTTGGGAATGAGAAGATAATCAAGAGTACATACCTCGGGGAGTTAGGACTGAGTCAATAAGCAAAGTTTGGGGGGTGGGTGGGAGGGAATGGACTATCGCAAGAAAGCCATGGACGATATAAGGAGGATAATCAAATCAAAGACCGATAGACTTATAGGTAAAGAAAGGAGGAACAAGAGATAGTAAGGATGGAGGGGCAAGCGGTGAAGTGAGGTCTTATCGAGAGTTATCGAGTTATCGAGTTATCGACCTGGGGGGGGAACGGGTTCGACCACCTTAAGGTGAGATCTTCCAAGTTCACAGATTCATACAATATTAAGAAACTGTTTTAAGACGAAGTTAGAGAGAGAGTATGAAGGGGGAATTTGTGGATATTTCCTCAGTGCTACGTCATGTATGCATTTATACATATAGTTAAGTAGTTAAGTAACTAGTTAACTAGTTATATTGTGAAGTAGTAACTACTCCGTACTTTTTATATAGTTACTTTAGATCTATATAAAACATTTAGTACATTTAAATATACTGAGATAGATGTAGGGTATTATATTATGGTATATATAGTATATATAAATATATATATAAAAAGAAAACCCCCGATCTTCCTGAAATGCAACTGTAAATATACCCCTTGTCACATGGCTATTTCTGCCTGAGGCATACAACCATTGAATAACTAAAGTCGGCCGAAAATAATCTTTGGGATGCTGCATGCATCCTCGGCATGGTGACACCCACTCCGGTGTTCTCTTTTGCTTTCTTTAAATGCCCTAATACTGTTATGCACCTTTCAAGCCTACCTTTATGCATTCGTCCCTCTCACCTCTTTCGCTCATTCCATAGCTCCGTTGCGGCAGCCAAGACTCCCGATGTCTTTGCCAACAGCCTCCGAAAGACCTTAGAAGCCCATCGGTCCACCAATCGATCTCGTTTGATACGCAAAATTTACCCCATTGATGATCCGCCGGGGCTCTGGCGACCTGAGATTCCACCTGAAAGTCGCGCCGACTACCAACCACCCGCAGAGCCAGCGCTACCGAATTCGGAATATTCACCTGATACTCCCGATCCGGTGTCTAAAAGACGCCAGAAAAAGCGCAAAAGTCATGTGGATATACCATCTCACCAATCATTCATTAATCGCCATGGAGAAAATCCGATTCAACCTGCAGGAACAGGTCGTCCGGCACAGAATCCCTGGCTGAGAAATTTGGAGCTGCCTCGTGCCAATGCTGAGATCACCCTGGATGCGGAAATTCGAGCATTGGATCAATACCTGACCCCAAGAGCCCAGGAACAAGATCGCGTAGAGAAGCTCAGGATAGAGGTAGCTTCACTTCTCAAAGCAGTGGTCCCGCATGCCCCAAGAGTGATTGGATCCCACTGCACGGGCCTTGTACTGGCGCACTCCGATCTTGACTTTATACTACCATATGAAGACCTTCCTAGGTCACTAGAACGTGATCGAAGACCGAGCCCCACGCGGCCTCAGATCCAAGATGCGCACATCCGCCTCCTGCGTCAAGTCCAAAGAGCTCTACAGCACACCGATACATTCGGCGACCATGTCAAACTATCTGACAAGCGAAACCCCTCGCTATCCGCTCGCCACCGGCCGACTGGACTGTTGCTAGAATTTTATTGTGGCGAGGGTATCCCTGCGATCACGGAGTATCTGCAAGATTATCAGGCCGAATATCCTGCCCTGCGACCGCTGTACGCAGTAACACGCACATTGCTAGAGGCGCGTGGTCTCTTTGGCTCGCCACAGGCGAGCATTGGACCGGATGCGCTAGCCATGCTCATCGTGGCATTTTTGAAGATGAACCATGGCCGGTTCCCCGGGCCCAATAATTTGGGTAACCAGTTCCTTGCTCTTCTACAGTTCTATGGCACTCAGGTTGACCTCCAGTCTGCCGGGGTCGCCGTGGATCCTCCGGGTCTTTTCGGCGCAGACATGTTACCTGTAGCTTCCGATGATGAACCTGCCCACCAGCGCGGTCAACGTTCGCTGATCAGTGCCAAGCGGACCGCTGCGGCGAAGCGAAATTTGATTGTTGCGCAACGATTATGCATACAAGACCCTACCCATTACATGAATGATCTAGGCCGGTCGTGTACACGGACTTTCGAGTTGCAGAGTGCATTTGCAGCTGCGCATCAGCAGCTTCGTCACGCGTGCGATGAATGGGAAAGTGATGGCAATATTAAAAGTTCAAGTGTCCTTGCCACTACTCTACATGCTAATTTTGATGGGCTAGAGAACGTGCGCAATCAACTCGCGTACCTCTAGTTGAAGGAAGCTGTAGTCTGGCGGTAGATCGATCAAATCAGCTATTAATCAAATTAATATTCCCCTATCAGTATCATCAACACATGTAGAAATTGCTTGAGGCAGCAGGTACTCGAATAGTTACGGAGTACTCGGGGAGTATTTTCGTCTATAGTTTTGGCGTCGAATTCTCTTTGTGGTCACTCGAACAAAGAAACACCCAGATCGTTGATCCCTCGGTTTCTACTCATAAAGCAAGAGCGCTTCAACTTCCTCTTGTGAGTTTCTTCTTTCTTATTGAATTCAACAGCAAAACATAAAAGTAACGCTTAAGGCTACATTTTCACTCAGTGCCCAGGTGCCGTGTACCTACCTACCCATTTGATTACTAAGTCTATTTGACACGGACGCGACGCGACCTCGGGACTATCAATTCGTGGGGGGTGGCCGAAACCCGCGGCAATCAGCTTAGACTGTCGATTCTGCTCGATATGCTAGCTACTAGCCTTGTTTGATAACTATTTCTTCAAATGCCATCCCGCAAGCGCGTGCAGGTGTCTCCGGACTCCGACGAGGAAAGTGATGGGTCCAGCCAGCCAGCCATGAGTTCCTCGGTACGATTCCAGCAAACTATGAGATTTTAAGCAGAGCTAACAGTCACAGAGGAAACGACAGCGGACGACTTCGGAGAGCTCAGCGAACTCGGAATCTCCAACCCCTTCTAGCGCTGTTATCAACGCCGCCGATTCACTTCTAGCTGTCAACGACGATGCGCTTCTGGACGACGAGGACGAGCTAGAGCTCCGCCAGACTCAGATCATACAAGAAAAATATTCGCATCTGATCGACGAAGCCAATGTGCCTGCCGAACACGGAATTCTCGAACGCGTTGAGTGCTACAATTTTATGTGCCATGATCACTTCTATGTGGAGTTAGGCCCTTTGATCAACTTCATTGTTGGAAAGAACGGCAGCGGCAAGAGTGCAATTCTGACAGCGATCACCCTTTGTCTAGGTGGCAAAGCCTCGGCGACAAATCGTGGCCAGAGCCTTAAGAATTTTATTAAAGAGGGCAAAGAAAATAGCACGATCATCGTTCGCATCAAGAATCAAGGTGACGGTGCCTATTTGTCAGACGATTTTGGAAAAACCATTATTGTCGAGCGTCATTTCTCCCGAAGCGGCACCAGTGGGTTCAAGATCAAGTCAGAGAATGGGCGCATAGTCTCGACTAAAAAGGGCGACCTGGATGCTATCACCGACTACTTTTCTCTGCAGATTGAAAACCCTATGAACGTACTCTCTCAAGATATGGCCCGTCAATTCTTGAGTACATCAAGCCCAGCTGAGAAGTACAAATTCTTCGTCAAAGGCGTCCAGTTGGAACAACTTGATAACGACTACCGGCTGGTGGAGGAATCACTCGACTCAATTGAAGAAAAGCTCAGAACATCGTCCCAAGACGTACAAGTCCTCCAAAACCGAAAGGATCTGGCCAAGAAAAAGCTCGACATTTCTGACCAACACGATTCTCTGAGAAGACGGATCCGAAATATCCGAGGCCAAATGGCTTGGGCTCAAGTTGAAGAGCAAGAGAGAGTCAGTCCCACCCTACCCCCTTTTTGATGATTAACTGACAAGACAGATGGAAATCTCGCTCACCGAACAAATCGCCGAGGCAGATCGGAAAATTGCGGAAGCTGAGTCTCGCCTCACTCGGTTTGACGCTGCCTTTGATGGAGTCGCCGCGGAGGAAACAGCCGCAGGTGAACATTCCTGGAGAGCTGCCGTGGCAGTGAATGAGGCCCAAGACGAAAGGGACAAAATAAAAGAAAAATTGGACGCTGAGATGGCCAGCCGACATGACCTACAAGTATGTCCCTCCAGTCAGCATGAAATACCTTCCCTGACTGTTTTGTATAGGCGGAACAACGCCAGATCAGGGACTATCTCAAAGCGGCCCAGTCGAGAATCCAGGATACCCAGCAAAAAGTCGACGATGAGAATCAGCGCCTCGCCGATGTGAGCGATGGCGGCCACGCTCGAAAACAACAAGAGTGTGAACAAGCCGCCAATGACGCTTCTGCTGCCAAAAGGGAATATGAGGAGCATCGGCAAGGTGCTGCTCGCTTACGCGAAGATGTCGAAACTGCCGAGAGAACCCTTACCGAAGCAAAAGGTCCTCTCCAGCAAAAGAAAAACGAGATCAGTCAAGCGGAGCAACAACTTGAAAATCTCACTAGAGATGGGGGATCGAGGCAGTCCGGTTTTCATTTTAGAATGCCTGCACTGCTCAAAGCGATTGAGCAGGAAAAATCTTGGAAGTCGGCCCCTGTCGGCCCCATTGGCCACCATGTCACTTTGCTCGAACCAAAGTGGTCGTCCATTTTGGAAAGAGTGTTTGGTGGTACACTGACCAGTTTCATTGTTTCGTCCAAAAATGACATGGAACTTCTTTCCGGTATCATGCGACGAGTTCAGTGGTGAGTTTGACCAGAGGTTCATGTTGAAACTGAAGCTGACCTAACAGCAACTGTCAAATCTTCATCGGCTCTGGTGGCCATTTGGATACATCGGCACACGAACCAGACTCCCAATACAAAACTGTGTTACGAACACTTCAGGTACCGACCCTCACCCCTTCCACAAGTTATGGGATGTGCTGACCTTTTAGATCGATAACGAGTTGGTGCGGCGACAACTGATCATCAACCATGGGATTGAACAGATGTTGTTGATTGAGGATGTAAAGGAAGCCTCCGCTGTACTATTTGACGGTACACGACCAAGGAACGTTAGGCGTTGTTACTCCATTGATCCAAAAGATCGACGTCGAGGACTCCATCTTTCATACAGCCGAGCCGGAGAACCGAGTCAGGCTCCTGTTATGGGATGGACCGATGGCCCGCGCATGAAATCCGACGTGGCCTTGCAAATCAAGTAAGGCCTCTTCCTTTGAACCTGTGACACTGGCTAATAGCTCTAGCGCACAACGCGACATTATCGCCGACCTCAAACGCCAACAGAAAGACATCGAACAGTCATTGGTAACTATCCAGTCACGCGTCCAGGCCTGCAAACAGGCACTGGTCCGACACGGAAGAACCGAGAAAGATCTGCAAATCCAAATGCAAACAATGGAAGATCATGCCGAGGGACTCAGAGACGCCTTGGACAAAGAAAACGCCGAGGATGGACGCATCGACGCCCTTCGGGCAGCATTGAAAGAAGCTGAAGATGAGAAGCAGCTCAATGAGGGATCATACCAAGACAGTGAGGCGGCCATGAAAGCCATGCTGCAGACTCTCAAAGAAATTCGGCGGGAACTCTCCGCCAAAGACGCTGAACTTGGGACTCTCCGAGAAAAACTACAAGTTGCTGAAAGCGAGCAAAATCTTGTGAAAACGAAACAAGCCAAAATCCTTGACGAGAAGAACGAAGCTGTGAGACTTATTGGCGATGATAAAGAGACTAAGTTTGCAATCGAGGCGAGAAAGGAGGTGGTAAAAGCACGGGTTATTGAATACAATGAAAAGGCCAACTTGGTTTCTTCTCGAGTTCCTGTGGACGAAGGAGAAACCCCCGGCAGCCTCGACAGAAAGCTTGATAAACTAAGCCGTGATCTGAATCGTTACAACTTGGAGTATGTCTCTTGCAACTTACTGTTTGCCACACAAAACTGACTTGTCAATAGGTTGGGAAGTTCTCGAGAGGAAATTGCTGCTGAGGCAACAAGGACTGCAGCAACCTATGATCGAGCCTTGCAGCAACTTGAACAGTTTTCAGCCTTGGGTCAGGTAATCAACTACCCTTTTGTGTTATTTCTTTTTTGTTTCCTTGGTCTCTTTGGCCTGGTCTAACATCTGTTTAGGCCCTGAAAGATACCCTCCAGAACCGTAAGAAGAGATGGGAGATCTTCAGATCCCACATCTCGTCTCGGGCCAAAGCTCAGTTCACCTATCTCTTGAGTGAGAGAAGTTTCCGTGGTCGGCTGTTGGCGGATCATACCAACAAACTTCTGGATCTACAAGTAAGCCTGTTCATAAAATCATTAGGCGGAAATGGATTGATGAAGGCTAACAACTACTGTCTAGGTTGAACCTGATATTACCAAAGATGATAGCACCGGGAGAGGTGCAAAGACACTGTCCGGTGGAGAAAAATCTTTCTCACAAGTTTGTCTGTTGTTGTCTCTCTGGGAAGCCATGGGATCTCCAATCCGTTGTCTTGATGAATTGTAGGTTTTCTTCGCATTTTGATTTGTTACCATGCTGACCTTACCAAGTGATGTGTATATGGATCATATCAACCGAAAGATGGCAATTGACATGCTTGTAAGTGCCACACTTCTCCTTCCTAAGGATTATCGCTGACTGATAACTATTCTAGATGGTTGCCGCTAGACGATCTATCGGGCGACAGTTCATTCTGATCACACCTGGTAGCAAGACTGATATCACCATCTCTGCGGATGTCAGGGTGAAGGAGTTGGCAGAGCCAGAGCGTGGCCAAACGACACTAACCTTCCGGGGCTGAAATCACCGACTGTCCGATTGTCCAACTGTCCATTAAATGTTATTTGTAGCGAAAATACCCTTGAAGATATGCCATGTTTGAAAAATCCTTCGCTTTAAGAGAATGTGCCCATGTGTGTAGTAAATAGTAGTAGAGTGACACGTGACCATACCCAGTGGGAACGTTTAGCTTCACTCTTTACCTCAAACCTCTTCGCTCCCCGCCATCATAATCTCAACCTCCCCTACCTCTTTTTTTCTCTTTTGCTCCCTCTCTCTCTCTCTCTTGATAACAAATCTGGTTTCTACCATTCTTTATCCTGTGAACTCTCCCAGCTTTGGTATCAGAGATATTTCTTGGTTCCACACAGAAGCTTCAATTCATTGAATCATTGAACACCCGATCTCCCATCCCCTACACCCTAACTTGATTGGTTTTGACGAACATCCCTCTCCTCTCCTCACATTTCCATCTCAAACCTCTTCTGAAATATTCCTCTTCCAATT